CGGAATTTGAATCTATGCGAATGCAAACGGATAAATTTATATCGCATAATTAGCTTTAATAAAAAATATGTTTTCGAAAAACCGTGAAGCGATTTTTTCGCAAACATTTTTTGCGCCGTCCTTTAATATTTGCGTGCATTAATTGTTCTACGTAATCAGTTACATCGGCGCATGTCCCGCAACGATTATTTGGCATTTTCCCCAAATGCGCTTAATTGATCAGTCTGATTATCAAAGTACCGCATAATCATCGACGCATAAATCGCTTCCGCGCATAAATAAAGCTACGCGATATACGCACTTAAATCAGTTACCGTATATAATTTGCAATGGGCGTTTTATTGCTCTCTGCATATTCTTGCGTATTAAAATCCGAATTCTAAAATCGGAATGCAAAGTGGATTTTGCAGTGCGTGTGTTTTTCTAACATTTCGCGAACGGCAATCTTGAAAATTGCGCAGTGATTCTATTAACATACGTATAAAACGTCGTATTCATGCCGCGTATTTAACGATTGTCTAATTCTAATCCATTATTCATGCGAGGTTCGCATGCGATATATTGCGCGAATGGGACGCGGTACGTCAAGCGCTTAACATCCTGGATCTGGATATTACGCCAGAAAATTTGAGGAACCGTTAGGGAACGAGTTAGTAAAACGGATGCAAAATTCAGTATGGTTAAATTAATACGAATGGAGAAGCACGAATAAACGATTCAAATTTATCGAGGAGAAATTATTTCTCGCGAATACAAAATTATCTCTATGCGACAATATCCAAAAATAATAATTTATTTATCGCATTTATTACTGGCTCAACTTGTATATGGCACACTTTCCTCTCTGCTCCTTTCATAAATAGGTAGGTAGGTAATGCAAAGTTTCGAGAGAGGCAATAGAGCGGATGGCAGTGACTGATACCCGCTTTGAAACTAATGGCGCATACAGAATGCGGATTCAACATAACACGGTCGATAGTAAACGTACAAGAGAAAGGGAAGCGGCGAGAATCGGAGGAAGGAGGAAATGGTGATGTTTTGTTAACCGCGGAGAGAGAGATTGAGAGAGAGAGAGAGAGAGAGAGAGAGAGAGAGAGAGAGAACTCGAAGAGCTACCTGCCTGCCTGCCTGTCTGCTGCATAGAGCGCTGATTTTGACAAAGGTTTAAATGCCTAGCCTCGCTCAAGCATTTCTAATTCCATACCCCTGTAACTTGGGGCAAGCTGACAATGTCTATCAAACTGGGGATGCACCATTGTCCCTCGTGACAAAGAGCATCGGCGCCGGCGTAGGAGTTGTTTTTCACACGACTTGGTCCCTTTGAAGGGTCACATGCGCTTTTAAAGCCCTTTAAAGCGTTTTCCATTCGGCCGAGCAGTATGCAAGGTCATGTAAACAGCTCTCGACCATGGAGATTGGAGACCCTCTCTCGTAAAAGATCTTATCTCTGATTGATACGATTCGTTCCAACGAATTTTTAAAGGGTAAAATAACTTTCATTTTTTGAGTCGCACTTATTTTACATATCGAATAATTTTATTTGAGATTGCAACAAGATATTGTAATGATAAAAAAAATTAAACACAATGATTTATTAATTTTTAAAAATTTATTTATACATTACATAAATGCAAAAATTTTTCTTAATAATGTTATTGTTGTAAATTTTTTATTCTCCATCGATACGTGGAACTCGTGACAAAATACTCACTTCGTTTCATCATACTTGTTTCAAAGGACAAAAGCAATTTGTCATGCTCTCGTACACACGATAAGAATTTACATGCAAATAAACCGCACGTGCAGGTCTTACATAATGCAACGTGCTGCGAGAAAACAATCCAATGATTAACATTATGCTTTACATTTGCCAGTATAAGTATTTTTTTTTCTTCGTTGGATATAAATATCTAATCTGTCATATGCACACAAAAACAATCATTTATCTCGCACTATAATGTAATCTCGCAATGTTTTTACAAAATGATAGTTGCATGTTAATAACCTGGTTATCGCATGTTCCGAGAATCACAAGATAACGTGCCTTGATTTACGACGTTATCATATTTGAATGTAAATATGCGTATTCCATTACGCAATTGTCATTTTACGATACAACAGATAAAAGAAGATGTTCTCGGTCGAAAAATAAGAATATAAAAAAATTTAAACGCTAGCCTTCCGATATATTTTTTAAGTATTCTCGAATTCTCGTAGTCGCATAATCCTTCTTTTTAATATCTTGATAGGATTCTCGAGAAGGGAGAACCCTCTTTCTGGAATTTCTTTGCCAGGATTATTTACTCTGTCATTTCGCGTAGCAAATTGTTAAATGTTTTCTTCGGAAAGATCGGCAGCTTGCCCCCCCCACAGGGGGGCTAGAGGGTCTAGCAAGCTGTGGGACAAGCTGTTGCTTGTCCCACAGCTTGCTAGACAAAGATTCTTTCGTAGAAATGTTCAATTTTGCCCAATTATAAAAAATACATACTTGGAAGAATATCTGAAAAAATGTTCCAAGGCTTTCGAACAATCTTTTGAAGATCCCACAACAATACCTGGATGTAAATCACCGTAAAGTTGTCTCAGTCATCAATTCTGTCACTTGACGTCTCGTCTTCATGCTTTAATACTGTGTAACGTCTTGTTTAGCCGTTTTTTCCGAGCATTAATAGGACGCCAGGTAATCGTATTTCGGTCCGAAAGTAGCATGTGGCGAGCAACAATAGCGCGAAACAAAGTACGCGATCACTGTTCAATTACGCCCGATATAATGCACGCCGCAGCTGTGCAACGACAGAACGACAAACCGCAGTCGCTAGGAAACGGGATGCACGTCGAGGCTCGTTGCAACGCATATCCGTGTGTGCCGTTTACACACATACGCGCACGCGCGCGCGAACTGCACGTATCGGATAAATACACCCCACGTATGCATCGCTGTTGCCCGCTGTGGAGTAGCTCTCCCCCTCCGGGTAATAACAGTAAATCCCGAGTAATAAATCCCTCTCCTCTGTATCTTCCTTCCCCGCCCCGTCATCCTTCTCTCAGCTCGTCTGTCTGCACACGCGTGTGTGCGTGCATGCTTATGCGTGTTATGCTCCTCCTCTACCTGTCCGCCTCCCCATTTTATCGCTCTCTCTCTCGCGCGCGCGCGCGCACACACACACACATACAGGCACGCATGCGTGTATACATGAGCATGCATCTCTATTCGCTCGCCTCTCCTCGGGATGGATATATGTGTATGATGTGCATTGTTGCAAATTGCTCCCATGCTAACGGTCATGTTCCTACTGGGTTAATCGAAGACCCTCTTGAACTCCCTTGAACCCGCTTGCCGGATTGACGCGACGGGAGCCGGAAACCCGGGTGAATCGCCGCACGATTCCTCGGATGTAATGATGCTCCTTGTCAGTGCGCGCATCGCTCTCGATCGAGGTCAGTGAGAAGATTTATTACAGCGATTGATAATACATTATCATTTTACCGAGCTCGCTAGCTTCCGAAATATCTGGGATGGTGTATGACTGCATGCTAATAGAGATTTGGTTTAATACATTACGAAAATATACAACGCTAAATAATAATCTTGTAATTTAGGACTTGAGCTGTTATGACGATTATTATATGTCAATTTTTTATGATCATCATTAAATAGAGTTAACGATTCGTTTTCTTTTCTATATTACGCTTCTGTTAATGTGACATAGATAGAGGAAATAAACTCAGATATTTTTTTTATCATGATTTATTTTAACGTCAAAACTTGAAATGATATTTAGAAATATTTAAAGCATCGTTAATTAGAATGTTTCATGTTAAGAAAAAATTAAAATCGTCGCTCTCTTGTCTTTTTTTTTTTAAATTTACATAACTCATTTTTCCATTTAAATAAAATTCATAATAATTGTCTCAAGATTTATATCATCAATGACATTAATGACTACTCTATAATTAACATTTTGTACGGGGTTTGCAAAATATATGATTGCAAAAAAAATACACAAAAATTATATTAAATATGCAAATGTTGATATACATGCGACGAATGCCAAGCACGGATGGAATGGGGGCGGAGAGGGATCGCAGAAGTTGCCAGGGAGACTGCTTTATATAGCGCGTCCTAGGGTTACCGAGTTATGCGAATCACTGATTGCGCACATCAAAGGGATTACCTCGGTAAATCAGCCCCATCATCTCTCTACACGGTGAACAGCCGATGTACTGGACAGCTGTAGGGATCGATCGGTCGCCACAATTATGCGGACCGATCAAGGGTATCGAGATAACCTTCGTGCGCAGGGATATCGAGTGCGCGATAATCTACCGTCAATAATTTCAATAATTAGCGGCTATGCGGCTCGTTCGCCGATCTGCGACGGCTCTTTGCGCGTATAATCAGCAATTTCCGTCGCGTAATATCGGAAATTAAATACGTACACGCAATGTTCAGGAATTCTTTATTCGCGGATATATAAAAAGAGAATCGTGAATAAAAAAAAAGAGTCGCACGATGTTAGTTTAAGATTGCACGAGGAATAGTTTTGACATCTATGCTCTTTTAAAAACTCTACGTTAAAGGTCACTTCTCTCATCAGTTATATCCACCTGTCGTACGGTTCTATAAAATAGAAATAATATACAGTTACCAATTACGCTGATATAAAAGTGCATTGTAACGATATTATAACGCTATCATGATTACAAAAGTAGAGCATGAAGCAAAAGAAGTTGTTAGAGCTATGTTAACGATTCGCTATTCTTTTCTACGTTACAGTTTTACAAATGTGACATAGATGGAGGATGTATCAACTATAGTAGATATTTTTAACGAGATTTAATATGTGTTTATATATTTTTTACATGTAAACCTATTTTAATATGTATTTTTTCGAAACCGTACTCGCGATTATGAATAAAAACAATTGCAATATCAATTTCACTTTTCAATGTTTATTTCTACTTGTATTACATTTGCGATTCGTTCTTTCGTGTTTCAGAGAAGAATAACGCTCGCAACAATCGACGTCGACGTGTGAGCGAAGGTGCTAGTCGCGAGAAGACCGAAAAAGAGTCGACGGAAGCGGCATTATCCACGCGGCAGCAGGAAGATCGAGAGAATAAAGGGCCGCCGTCGGGCAAGGTCAGCAACCGTGTAGCTCGGCCAGTGTTGGAAGAGGCGAATAGCGCGTCGGGAAGCGCCTCGAAGCTACGAAGACGCGGCGCCGCGGTAAAGAGTCCAACCGCCGACCATCAGGGTCCGGCGCAGCATCAGAGACCGGTACGAAGAAGGCCGAGGCCAGGGAGCGGCCAGGAAGTCAAGCCAGGAGTAGAGGAGGAGTCCGTCGAGCATCATCATCATCATCATCGTACCGGAAGCGGCGCGAGAGCCGACAAGGACGAACGTCTCGGTAGCAGATCCGAGGAAGAGGAGGAAGAGGAGGAGGAAGAACGAGCTCTCGAAAGGGAGAACGAGGAGAGTCCGGAACGTTGCGATCCATTGACTAAGCGGCTAAGAACAAGCCCCGTCGGCAGAAAGCTCCGATCCGAGAGTAGTAAGGGCAAAAACGCCGAGGAAGCTGCAGCGGATCGGGCCGGGGAGGTGGTGGTGGAGGAGGACGAGGAGGAGGACGACAAGGAGGAGGAGGAGGCCGGTGTGGAAAAACACGATCGGGCTGAACGGGAGGTCGACAAACTCGAGGAGAACGAAGAGAGCCAATCCAGGGAACGGGACAGAGAACCCGAGCCGCCACCTCCGGATAAAGTCGATCCCGGGGGCAATCCAGCTTCCGAGGAACAACAGCCGGATAACAATCCAGAACCGAAAAAGGACGGTCGCGCGATCGATCGGGGCGCGGCGAAGATCGGCGAGCGCAAGGAACAGCAACAACAACGACAACAACAGCACCAGCAGCAGCCACCGCAGTTCGTCGTGAATGGATTGCACGTCGATTCGCCGCTGGTCAGCGACAAGACGAATGTCATTCGCGAGGACAGCCCGTCGCTGCTGAAGTCGACGACTCGATCCAAGGCGAAGGGCTTCGCGGAAGAGGACGGAGAGGACGCGAGAGCGAGAGCGAGAGCGACAGCGGCAGCGGCGGCGGCGGAGGACGAGCGCGACGAGAACGCCAGCGAGGAGGAAGCGGGCTCGCAGCGGTCGCGCCGAACGGAGCTGACCACCACCGAGTTAGGCACGGAGGATAGCGTGGGTAGCGTCGGCGGCGCGAGGGCGGCCAGCGTCGAATCGGTCGTCGAACTGCTGGAGTCGAGCAGTCAGGACTCAGGCTCCGTGCTGGAGAGGCTGAGTCCGCTTAGTAGCAGCGGCGGCGGCGGCCCCGGCAGGCAGAATAGCCTGCTCCTGGAACAACAGCGGGAGCAGGAGCGCAGTCGGCACAACGAGAGTCCGATCATCCTTGCCGAGAGACTGAACAAGCCGCCACCGCCGATCGCCGGTCACCATCATCACCATCATCTCCAGCCGTATCATCAGCCGCCGCATCAGCAACAGCAGCAACAACAGCAACAGTATCACCATCATCACCAGCAACACCATCAGCAGCGTTATTCCGCCGGTAGTCCGGTGATTCACCATCACCACCAACAGCAGCAACCGCCGCCGCCGCCACAGCATCATCATCATCATCATCATCATCATCAGTTAACGAGCAGCTCGCATCAACACCACCATCATCATCCCACCCACTTGACCCCGTCGGGCCTCCTCGAGGTGCAACAACAGTCTCACACATCGAGGGGTGGCGATGAGGCCGGCGGCGGCCTCATGGAGGTGGAGCCCGGGGCCGGTATACCTGGTGCGGGCGTACTCGCTGGTGTGTCTACAGCGATCGGCGGCATACGGGCGTCGGGAGGCAGCAACAGCGGCGGCATCGCCGGCACTTACGGCGACAGCGGCTCCGACAGCGGGGTAAGCTCGCTGAGAAGCGCCGGCTCCGGCGACGAGAGAAGCGGCAGCAGGAGCTCGGCGCTCAGCGTCGAGGAGACGACGTCGTCCTCGACGCCATCGGCGTCGATAACTACGTCCGCCGCCCCGGCCAGAGTCTGGCACGTGCAGAGCATCCAGCACACGACTCTGCTGATGGCGCATCCCCAGGGCGCGCCCAACGCCCCTGCGAACGCCGCAGCCACGGCGCCGCCGGTCGGCTATCAGAGCCCGGCGCCTCCGGGTCATCACGCCGCCGTCGCGTCCGACATGCTCTGGAGGCCTATCCAGTCCAGGACCTATCCGCCGTTATCGCACACCCTCCTGGGACCGCAGCAACCCAGCCCGGAGGAGCTGCTCGAGAGGGACCGTCACGAGAGGCTGCTGCGGTGAGTCGTCTTCTCTTTCATTCGTTATTGCTCTGAATGCGCGATCGTCTGTGGAAAATTGTCGAGGAATTTTCACTCGACGACATATCGCGTATGCGCTGAAAAATAGACGAATTAAAAAAAAAACCTGCTTTAAAATTCACTTTATTTAATCTTTGAAATTGAGGACTCCGACACTTTAATTTGACGAAAATATCGGTGAAACAACCTCAAATAAAGATAAAGTGGATCTCTCTATTTATTCCTCTAAATGGACTTAACAATATCGACATTTTCAAGATCAGATATTCAGTTAAGTGGAAATGGTTTCTGAAAAAATTGGCTCAAATTAATTTTTCTGTTTTTCATTTCGAGCTAAAAATATGAATTCCTCGCGCGCAAAGTACTCGAGAATGCAAACATTGGTACACGTTTGTGAGTTTCGAAGTACGTCGAATCGAAAGTAAAATTCGCGTCTCGATAAACGGCGCCGTAAAAGGCTCGATGTTTTATTACGTGTGCTATAATATCAGCTCGGTCAATTGATAGTTGCAATAGTTCGCGATATGCAACGACGATAAAAAGTTTTTATCCACCGCGGCTATTTTTCCGCTCGACTACGCGCGCCATTAATAGCTCTGGCGCATGCACGGGCGGTTTCCAATACGCGCGCAATAATCAAATACATTAAACGACCGCGCGAACGGTAGCGTGACCACGTTATGTCAATAATCTTGTCTAAGCTTTAATCATAATTCTCCTCCGACGCGTGTCGCTCGTCGCGATCTACGATCGCGTCTTATCGCGACTTTTTTTCTTTCGCGCTCATTTAATCGCGCCTCGTCGATAACCTCGACATAGAAATCACGCGGAAATAAGGCACTTTGATATCGCAAGTCATGTCGCTCGAGAAGCGAGTCCCGTCCTCATACTCGATCTTTTAATTATCTTTCGAAATAAGCGAATCGTCGAGCATAATTTACCTTTCGCTCGCGTGTTCTCGCAAATGAAATGTCCAGCTGACCGGTGGATTCGCGAGGAAATGAGACTGTCGTGGAAGTGGATGTCCGACCGTTGAAGCAGCTGCATTTGGCGCTTTCTCGTCGTCGCTTCTAGCCATCGGACTTTCTTTGTTCGATCCGCTCTCGCGTGACTACGTCGAGCGAGTGTGCGCGCTTATATACGTATACGCACATGCATACGTGTATATTCGCCATTCTCGTTTTTCCGTGCGCGCGGAGAGAAGAAGATAGGCACGCGGAGAGACGCGCTTAAAGAAAGAGGTGGACGGGTTCTCGAGCGTGCGTGCGCGCGTGTGTGTATTTGCATGCGTTTCCGGGCGCCAGCTGCGAGTCGCTCCTCCGACTTCCGCCGGATTATCGCGATAGAGCGAGGCTCGTTTGAGTAATCGAGTCATCATTCGCTCGGCACGCCGACAACGAGGCGGTGACCCGAAACCGTCGCTCTTCGGCTTGTATAAATAAACCGGTGGGACACTTACCAACACACCGACGCTGTCGCTGATCGGCACGTGTCGATGACCCTGCCACTCGTGTGCGCGGTGCCTTGCTTGACCTCGCCGAAGGCCACCCGCCGAAACTTTCGGTGTCGCTCGCCGATAATTTCGATGTCTCAGTTTTTATGTCTCGCGCGGACGAATTGTTTCAAGGAATTAATAGAAAGGAAAAATGATAATTTTCTTGAAAATCGAAGCAGCTTGATCGAATCGAATTGAATTATTTGAAAAAATCGAAGGTAATTTAAAATATTTGAAGGATTTTTTTTATCTCGTAGCAGTTTGCGGATACTTTTTATCGTCTCGTAGTTATTACAATCGATAAATTCTTCTTGCAAACAGTTTCATTTTGCAGTTATCCACAGTTAAAGTTTAACGCGTAAAAAGTTACATAAAACTTTTCTATGCCCTTTCTGATATCAGTAACAAAGGAAACTTGGTCGGCCGTGACTTCACGTCTGTCAGTGATCACATATCTATTTCATTTTAGCGATGTATCGATTGAAACAAGTGGCGTGTACATTCTATGCTAAAGTTACTGAAAGTTTCAAAGTGATTATAAACTTTGCATTATGAATAATTTAAATATAAGACCCGTTATCGCGCGACAAGATTATTTCCACAAATCAAAAAGGAACTATATTAATATCTTGATGTTTTAAAACATTAATACACACCATTCTCATTCTTAAAAATATAACCGTTATATTTTCGACGCGCGATGTCGCGATTGTCTTAAAATAACATCGAGTCCACATATTTTTTAAGACATCTTGTACAGGTCAATTTTTCATTTTATATAGGATATTTTTTTATTCTTTGGATTCTTCACAATTGACTAACGGATATAACGAGAGAACCGCGTCTCTTTTTATCTCGACTGCTTATTAACGCGTCACTGAAGTTAATCCTCGTAACAAATCCATCGACCTGACCCACGCGATGAGTTCAGCGAGCATTTAGGTAGGGATAATTAATAGTTCGTGAACCGGGAGAGCATGACTGAGATATTAAAGCTTCTCTCTCGAGAGAGCCCAGGCGGAAAAAGGTGGCGGAGGGTTTGGGTTGGCAAGCTACTAGACGACAATGATGACCTCCTACAACGTCTGCCGCTGCTCGTGTTCGAAAGAGGGGACGCCCGGGAAGACACGCGATGACTTGACAATATATTACATCAGGTTGATGCCAAGTCTCTCTAAATATCATTCCCGAGTATTTTTATAACGTTGGATTTGACTACATTATATTATGACGCGGTTTTTCAGACGAAAGAGAGAGAGGCGTAGGAACTCTCAATCATCTCGTTATATTCGCTCGCGAATAGACGCGTGTCCAAGTGAGTCTCCGATTTATTTATCGTCAAGTAAAATAATTCATACGCGTTTTTCATAATATAAAAAAAATAGATTTTTGTCGCCGAAATCTGGTCGATAACAGCACAGAGGAAAATAGTAGAAATCGCGCAAATGTCAATTTTTTGTTGGAAAATAAAAATGTAAAATACATTTATACAAGCATCAGAAATACATTCACCAAATTAGAGATCGATCGTGCAAAAACCCGGATAAAATCTCCTTCAAGTTTTGTTCATAAAAAATAATATTCGGCTTTCCGTTGCGTAATCGCTCGTCTCACGTAACGGTGACGATTAAAATCGAAAATATACACGAATCGCGACATATTCCGCAGAAATGACCGATCAAATTGGAAGCAACAGTTTGCCCAGACAAATTAATCGTCTTCGTATCCTCGAGATACGATTTTCAAGGCCAAAGCTGCCCGATAGCATCCGCGGCCGTTCACGATTTTCCCTTTCTCGTCGAGAGGAACAAGCGGATCGACCGAGGGGAGTGTAGCAAAAAGAAGGAAAGCGCGGTGAGAGAGTTACCCTAATGACCATCGTGTAGCGACGAAGGTTAACTACGCGGCCCATCCCTCGGCGATCGATATCCCACGTTCTTGTGCGCGCCTCATCTTCTCTCTTCTGGGATCCCACCGGAGCCGGTGGCACTCGATCACGAGGTATTAAAGCTTGATTGATCGATGCATCGTTTTTCTGTTCAATCCCGGCCTCCGCGATGAGTCACGCGAGACTTGAAATGCGTTCCCGAATACAAAGGAATGGTTGAGATCAATCGTGCGCGGACGAAATTATTCTCGTTCCTAGAAAGGATATCGGTGGTTCCGCTCGCTAAAAATTAGTCGACAAAAAATGACACCAAGAGTTTAATTAGGTTGCGGAATTTTGAAAAAAGATTTATTTAAAGAGATATCGCAAAATATAAATACAGAACAAGGGAGAAAAGATAAACAAAATTTAGCCTTTTTTTCTTGTACAGTATTTTACCGGCCGAAATGGCAAATTCAAGCACGTTTATATTGTTAACGCGATAACGTTGCGAGCTAACGTCGTATTAACGAAGGAAGGCGAGTTATCGGTTTTTGCTTTGTGAAAGCTGTCGGCAAATTAAACAGTAAATTTCCTCGGGATATCGATGAGGGATGTTGTTACGGAGTTAGCCGGGAGAAGTAATCGCTCGTTACCGTATAACGAACAGGTGAAATTGGAAACTCGATAAAGCGGAGATACGGATCGGCGGCGATCGGTTATCCGCACGAGACGACGTCGCGAAACGCGACGTTGCATTTACCTGATATCACGCGAGCCTACGTTTCGAGTCGTCGCGTCGGCTCGAAACTTCCTGGAATTTCCTGCAACGGGAAACGTCGCCGAGACGATTACTTCCCGGAGACACGAGTTCATATATACTACTCGTTTCGATGCTCTTCTTTATGCGGCGCGATAACGGAACAACAGTACCGAAGAAGATTACCGTTCAGATGCAAATAAGATCTAATCTATCCATCTTTTTCTTTTCAAAATTCACGCTAGGAATTTACATATTTTTAAATGGACTATTAACGGAATAATTGATGCATCGATTCAACTAATTGAAGCATTTTACACGAAAGGAAAATTATTTAGTGCAGCAATTTAAATAAAATTTTCATAAAAGAGACATTATCAAGGAGCATGATATGCGTGATAACTTTAATAATATACCTCAGCTTTTGATTTGTCCGTAAAATATTTTCAACTAGCTGTAGCTCGATATACCCTCAGATATCCTCCCAGTTCTGCGCCGCATCTGCATAATCATTAATTACGTCTTTTAATACCCTTGACGAAAAGTCGCCTGCTGTTTTACTCTCTTTCGTCGAGAAGACGAGACTCTAACGGGCAGTTCGCGCTGTTATTCTGCTCCAAATACGTTCAATTACGTGTTCTCTCCTCGTCGGGTGCTCCTCGCTCCGCGTGTAACGACCGCGATTTAACGCTTATGCAAGCCCGGCCTCTCCGAGAGAGGTAATCGGCTGGCTGCGGCATCAGAAACTGGCATTTGGGCACAAGGTCACGCGCAGCTTCTTTTTATCTCTCAAATCCCCCTCATCCCCCTCCTGCTCTTCTCCTCTCTATCTCGCACCCTATCTCGATCCATTCTCT